CCCCTTCCCCCTCGCGCCGCCCCCGCCCCCCCGCCCTCCCTTCCCGACGGCCCAGCGCTATTCGGCGTAGCGCCGCCCCCTCCGCCCCGACAACTCTGTCTTGCACTGGATGCCTAGAGATCCGACGATCCTACTCTCTTGCGCAGGGTGTCTAGAGCTCCGACCAGTTTATTCAGCGTCGCACCGCGCCCCCTCCCACCCCGCCCCCTCTCACCCCCCCCCCAGCGTTCCCCAGCGGCCCAGTGGAACCTCTGCCCAGCGCCCCCCCCGCCCCGATTATTATATTCCTCGTCGCACCGCGCCCGCCCCCCCTCCCCGCCCCCCTCCCATCCCTTTCTCGGCCTTCCCTTGCCCGCGCTGCCCCCCTCCTGCCCCCCCCAGCGTTTCCCAGTGGAACCCCGCTCGTCCCCTCCGCCCCGACAAATTCCGCGTCGCACCGCGCCCGCGCCCCATCCCCGCCCCCCCGCGCCCCTCTCCAGCATCGCCCTTGCCCGCTCCCTTCCGCCTCGACCATTTTATTCAGAGTCGCACCGCCCCCCGCCCCCCCTCCTGCCCCTCCCCAGCGTTCCCCCGTGGTCCAGCGGAGCCGCCGCGTGCCCCTTTCGCCCCGGCGAATTTGTTCAGCGTCGCACCGTCTCGCCCTCCACCCGCCCCCCTCCGCCCCTCCTCCGCCCCCCCCTCTGCCCGCGCCGCCCCCTCCTACCCCTCCCCGGCGTTCCCCAGTGGCCCAGTGGAACCTCCGCCCAGTGCTCCCTCCGTCTTGACAAGTTTATTCTCTTGCACAAGGTGTCTGGAGCTCCGACCCCCCACCCCTGGCGTCCCCAGCGCCAGAGTGGGACCCCCGCGCCGTGGCTCTCTGCCCCGAGCCCCCCCGCGTCCCCAGCGCCCCAGCGGGAGCCCCGCCCACTGCCCCGTCCGCCACGAACGCATTATTCCGCGTCGCATCCCCCCCCGCGCGTCCCCAGCGCCAGAGTGGGACCCCCGCTCTGTGGCTCTCTGCCCCGGGCCCCCCTGCGTCCCCAGCGCCCCAGCGGGAGCCCCGCTCACTGCCCCCTCCGCCACGAGTGCTCTATTCCGCGTCCCCCCCCCCTTTCCCCGCGTCCCCAGCGCCAGAGTGGGACCCCCGCGCCGTGGCTCTCTGCCCCGAGTCCCCCCGCGTCCCCAGTGCCCCAGCGGGAGCCCCGCCCACTGCCCCCTCCGCCACGAGTGCTTTATCCCGCGTCGTTCCCCCCCATCCCCCCGCGCCCACAGCGCCAGAGTGGGACCCCCGCGCCGCGGCTCTCTGCCCCGACCCCCCCGCGTCCCCAGCGCCCCAGCAGGAGCCCCGCTCACTGCCCCCTCCGTCACGAACGTTTTATTCCGCGTCGCGACGCACACCACCTCCCCCACCTCCCTCCCCGCGTCCCCAGCGCCCCAGTGGGGGCTCGGCCCCGTGCGCCGCCGCCCGCGACAGTTTTCGTCAGCCGCCCATCGTCGTCCATCCACACCATCCCCCCCCTGTCCCCCAGCGCCTCAGTTGGACCCCCGCCCGTGGCCTTTTTCCCCGCCCTCGCCCAGTGCCCCCTCCGCCCCGACCATTTTGTTCCGCGTCGCGACGTACACCACCTCCCCCCCTCGCGCCCCCAGCGCCCCAGTGGGACTTCCGCCCCGTGCCCCCTCCGCTCCTAACACGTTATTCCGCGTCGCGACGCACACCCCCTTCACCACCTGGGATTTGGGCCCCGTTGTTGGGCCCCGAGGGGCGATGTCTTGCCCCCTCTCTTCTCCCTCCTCCTCGACCTCCTCCTCCTCCCCCTTCCTTTTCGTGCAAGAGCCATGGCACACGTGCCACCTGTTCCGCGTCGCACCGCGCTCGTCCCCCCGCCGCCCCCCCTCCCCAGCCCCGCCCCTGCCCGCCCCCCTCTGCCTCGACCACTTTGTTCCGCGTCGCGTCGCGCGTCGCTGTTCCCCCCCCAGCGCTCTCCAGAGGCGCAGTGGAACCTCCGCCCAATGCCCCCTCTGCCCCGGCTATTTTACCCAGCGTCGCACCGCGCGCCCTTCGCCCCATGCGCGCCCCCCTCCCAGCCCTCCCCAGCGTGCCCTAATGGCCCAGTGGAATTTCCGCCCCGCGCCCCCTCTGCCACGACTATTTCATTATGCGTCGCCCCGCGCCGCGCCCGCCGTCCCATTCCCCGACCCCTCCCGCCTCTATCCTGCCGCGGCGGCCCATTTGAACCTCCGCCCATTGCCTACGCCCAGAGCCCCCCCGCCCCCGTCCAGCCCCTCCCCAGCCCAGCGGTCGAGTGGGGCCTCTGCCCCGTGCCGCCTCCGCCCCGACCATTGCATTCCGCGTCGCACCGCGCCCCCCCTCGAACCCCCTATCCCCAGCATTCCCCAGAGGCCCAGTAGAACATCCGCCCAATGCCCCCTCCGCCTCGATCGTTTTATTCCGCGTCGCACCGCGCCCCCCCCCGCCCCCCCGGACCCCCCCAGCTTTCCCTGACGGCCCAACGGAATTTCCGCTCAGTGCCTTTCCCGCCACGACATTATATCCAGCGTCGCACCGCGCCCGCCGCCCCCTCCCCGCCCCCCCCCGCTCCATCCCGGCCACAGCGGCCTGGGAACCTCCGCCCAATGCTCCGCCCCGAGCCGCCTCCGCCCCCCCCCCGCCCCTTCCCGGCCCCTCCCCCGCGTGGCCTGTGCCCCGTGCCGCCTCTGCCCCGACCATTGCTTTCCGCGTCGCACCGCGCCCCCCTCGGGCCCCCTTTTCCCCAACACTCCCCAGAGGCCCAGTAGAACATCCGCCCAATGCCCCCTCCGCCCCGATCATTTCATCCCGCGTCGCACCGCGCCCCCTCCCCCGCAGGCCCCCCCAGCATGCCCGAACGACCCAGTGGAACCTCCACCCAGTGCCCCCTCCGCCCCGACCACTTCATTCCGCGCCCCCGCCGCTTTCTTCCCGGCGTTTCCCGGCGACCCTGTTGCCCTCTGCCCCGGCAAGGATAGTTCGCGTCGCCCCGCCCCCCCCATGCCCCAACGCTCCCCCGCGCCCCAGGGGGCCCCCGCCCAGAGCGCCCCCTCAATTTCCCGTGTCGCGTCGCACCCCTCCCCACCAGCGCACCCCTGCGCCCCTGTGGAACTCCCGCCCGGTACCCCCCACGCCTCGACCATTCCGCGTCGCGTCGCGCCTTCTCCCCGCCACCGCTGGCCCCCCCCCCTAGCGTTCCTCGGCAGCCCAGTGCCCCCGCCGCCCCGACCACTTCATCCCGCGTCACGTCGCACCCCCTTCCCCAGCGCTTCCCCTCGCCATCGTGGAACCACCGCCCAGTGCTTCCCCGCCCCGACCACTTCATTCCGACTCGCGTCGTCCCCCCTCCTCGCCATTAGCTCTCCATCACCTCCTGGCGTTCCCTGGCAGCACAGTGCCCCCTCCGCCCCGATTATTTCAGTCCGCGTCGCGTCGCGCCCCCCCCCTTCCCAGCGCCCCCCTACGCCCCAGCGGATCCCCGCTCATTGCTCCCTCCGCCCTGACATTTTTATTCTGGCACCCTCCCCTCCTGCCCCCGCACCGCCCCTCCGTTCCCTGGCGTTCCCCGGCGGCCCAGCGCCCCCGCCGCCCCGACCACTTTATTCCGCGTCGCGTCGCCCCCCCGTCACCGGCGTTCCCCCTCGTCGTTTTCTGCCCCGATGAGTTTATTCTGCGTCGCGTCGGGGCTCGCGGGTGATGTTCGTACCTTGTTATTGGTGGTGGTGGTGGTGGTGGTGTTGGCTTTGTTGTTGTTGTTGTTGTTGTTGTTGTTGTTGTTGTTGTTGTTGTTGTTGTTTTCGTCTTACTGCTTCAGAATATTGTTGTTGATCTCCCCTGCCTTGTGACCGTTGTATGTTTCAAGTCGAGCGCTCCTCCCAGTGATCGCATATTGTTTTTACAAGGGAAAGTGCGGGGCCAACAAGCTGCGCCGTTGGGGGTCCCGAAGTACAGCAATCACAGCACCCGCCTGATACTCCCTCACAAGTTGTTTCAAAATCGCGTTCTCGCGCTAGATTTCCTCACAATGCATGCAGGGATCGCGCTCTCGCGTGGGACTTCTTCACAGATTACTCGGGCGTCGCACCTCCAACCCTTAGGAATCGCGCTCTCGCTCTGGTTTGTCTCGTGATTCACTTGGGAATTGCGCTATCGCTCGAGACCTCTTCGCGATTCATGCTGTACCCACGCTTCAGCAACCCGTCTGCTCGACCTGGCCGCTTGGGCCCGCCTTCCCTCGCACGCTACGGTCTACCCGTGCGATCCGCCTGTCTGGTTCTGCTCCTAGGCCCCCCCTGCTTATTCCGTGTTGCATCCTTCTTCCTTTTGTTTCCGTCCGTCCTCTTTCCCCTTGCTGTAGGGGCTGCATCAGTTACACGCGGCAGGTAGGGAAGATATACCTCCAAAGGCCCTCCAAGGGGGGTTGCAAACAATCGAAGACGACGAGGATGGGTGTCGAGGGTTTGGGATATCTCATGGCCTTCGGCCCATCCCGCAATTGCGCCTGGGTTGTGGGCATGAAGCATATCGTTCGGATCTCGTGGGCGGCATCTCAGGGGCTTCTTGGAGGCAGTAAGGAGGCCTCTTCGGGGCCGTTTGGGGGCCTCTTGGGGCGTCTTTTGGGTGGACGGATGGGGGTGGGAGGAAAAGCGTGGAGGGGGGTGGGGGGGGGGGGCTGGAGAGAGGAATGGTGGTGGGATAGGGTCGCGGGTTGGGGATGGTGGCAGGGATGGAAGGCTTAGGTCACTTATTCTCCCTCCCCCCGCCTGCTCCCTCCTGCCGCCATCCTCCTTCCTCCTTCCTCCCCTCCTTCCTCTCCTTCCTCCTCTTCCTCCGCCCTCCTGTTCGTTCGCTGCACGACTGCATTGGGGAGGGGGTCAAGATAGCCCAACCGGAGGCTCGGCCGCACTGGGTTGAGAGAGACCCCAGGCCGCTGTCGCCGCGCATGGGAGATGAGTTCCAGAGAGGCCCCCGGGTTGCGGCCCCCCCTCGGCAGGACGCCCCGCCGGGACGGCCGCAACAGCAGCTCCCGCTCCAGCACGGGAGCCCACCAGGACAGCCCCCCTTCCAGGGGACACCAGGATGACGATGATGATGATGATGATGCTGATGATGATGAAAAGATGATGATGGTGGTGATGATGATGGTAACGATGATGATGGTGGTGATGATGATGGTGACGATGATGATGATCATCATACTGAGCATGATGATAATGATGTTGATGGTGATGATGATGATGCTGTTGATGATGATGATGATGATGATGCTGCGATGATGACGATGACAATAATCATGATGCGTGTGCTGATGCTGGTGCTTGTGCTGATGATGATGCTGATGATGCTGCTGCTGATGATGACGATGCTGCTGATGATGACGATGACGCTGATGATGATGATGATGAGATCGTTCTGGTGCTGATGCTGCTGATGATATTGACGATGACGATGATGATGATGATGATGATGATGATGTTGGTGATGATAATGATGATGATGATGATGGTGATGATGCTGGTGATGATGATGGTGGTGACGATGATGCTGCTGATACTGATGATGCTGATGCTGATGCTGCTGCTGATGCTGATGCTGAGGATGATGCTGCGGCTGATGATGATGATGATGATGATGGTGATGATGATGATGATGATGATGATGATGATGATGATGATGATGATGATGATGATGATGATGCTGTTGCTGGTGCTGATGCTGATGTTAATGATGATGCTGATGATGCTGATGATTGAGCCTGATAATGACGATGAATATGATTGATATGATGCTGCTGTTGATGATGATGGCGATGATGACGATGATGAGGATGCTGATGCTTATGCTGGTCCTGGTGCTGATGCTGATTCTGTTGATGATGCTGATGATGGTGCTGCCGATGATGCTGCTGCTGCTGATGAAGATGATGTTGATGATGATGATCATGATGATGATGATGATGATGATGATGATGATGATGGCGATGATGAAGATGCTGATGCTGATGCTGATGCTGGTGCTGATGCCGCTGATGACGGTGTCGATGCTGATGCTGTCGATGCAGATGATGATGCTGATGATGATGCTGATCATGATGATGGTGATGATGATGATGATGACGATGACCATGATGATGGTGGTGATGATGCGGATGATGGAAATGCTGCGGATGATGATGATGATGCTGATGCTGATAATGTTGATGCTGCTGCTGCTGGTGCTGATGCTGACACTGATGATGCTGATGCTGATGCTGCCGATGCTGATGCTGATGGCGATGCTGGTGATGATGGTGATGATGATGCTGGTGCTGATGCTGATGCTGAGGCTGATGACGCTGATAACGATGACGATGCTGACGATGATGTTGATTGAGTGATGCTGATGCTGATGATGGTGATGATGCTGATGATGATGATGATGGTGCGGCTGTTGATGATGATGCTGATGCTGCTTCGGCTGATGATGGTCATTAGGAGGGAGAGAAGGAGACGGAGGAATACTCATAATATGAAGATCCGAAGGACTACTAATACTAAGAATAATCAGGAGGACACCCTGAAGAACAATATGAACCATATATAATAACAAGGGGAATCATCATAATTACAAACATATGGCGAATCATAATGCTAATGATAGTAAGACGAAGACAGCGGACACGAAGAAGAACACGACTAACCCGGAGAAACATACTATGAAATATAAGACGAACCATACTAATAATACTTCACATAATAAAACGAATAAGGGGGAGTGGGAGGGGGAGGGGGGAGGGAAGGAAGGATGGGGTGGGGTAGGGGAGAAGGAGGGGATGGTGAGGAGGGGAGGGGGAGGGGTAGGGGGAAGGGGGTGGGGAGGCGGAGGAGAAGGATGAAGGAGGAGGAGGAGGAGGATGATGAGGAGGAGGAGGAGGAGGAGGAGGGGGCGGAGGGGAAGGAGGAGGAGGAGGAGCAGATGCAGGAGCAGGAGGAGGAGGACGAGGAAGCAAAGGTGGAGAATGACGAAGAGGAGTATGATGATGGTGGTGGTGATGGTGTTGCTGCTGCTGCTGATGTGGTTGCTGTTGATGGATGGTGATGATGATGGTGATGGTGCTGGCGATGGTGATGATGATGCTGATGATGAAGATGATGATGATGCTGGTGATGATGATGCTGATGACGATGATGGTGATGATGCTGATGACGATGGTGGCGGTGATGACGAAGATGCTGATGCTGGTGTTGATGATGATGCTGCTGCTGATGGTGATGGTGATGCTGCTGCTGATGATGATGATGGTGCTCATGATGCTGATGCTGATGCTGATGATGCTGATGCTGATGCTGATGTTGATTATGATGCTGATTATCATGCTGCTGATGATGATGATGAGGTATCTGCGGCTGATGATGCGGATGATGATGGTGATGAGGATGTTGATGCTGCTGCTGCCGATGGTGCTGCTGCTGATGATGATGCTGATGATGATGATGTTGTTGATGATGATGATGATGATGATGATGATGATGATGATGATGATGATGATGATGATGATGATGGTGATGGTGATGTGGAAGAGGAGGAGAACGAGCAGGAGGATGAGGAGGACGAGGAGGAGGTCGATGGAGAAAGAGGTGGGAGGAAGAGGAGGAGGAGAAGGAGGAGGAGGAGCAGGACGACGAGTGATTAGGCACGGCAGAACAGGATGCATTGTGAGACACGACCCAGCTATGGGTCCAGGTGTCTCCCCAGGGCATTCACGCCTGGAGGCCTCGCAGTATCAACACAATACAACGACTTCCCACACATCTACACACACGGCCCTGCCCTGCACAACTTGCCCGCCAGCGTCCCCGACCGGGGTCGCCTCTGGTCAGGCGGCCAGGCCGGAGCATTGGGCGTCCAGCAATAGTTCCCGTGGACCTCGGCAACCGCAGACCTGCAACGACCGCTGGGAAGGGGTCCAGGGCGGACCCTGCCTTCGGCGAATCGTCAGCAGGGCAGAACTTTCCGCCCTACTTTTCGAGCTCCATTGATGTCGATGTCCGCCCTTCTTTGCCGTCTCTGTTTCCGCCATGGTCTTTCGGACATATCTGCCGTACCTTTCTGAGGCGGAAGTTTGCGCCCCTCTTCTTCGCACCGTTTGGGGTGCATTTTGGACAGATCTAAGTCGGTAAATCAACCAAAGTACGGCGGATCCGAATTCCGCGGAGGCCATGGCAGAAACGAAACTTGGTGGAGCAGGTCTAGGCCTCCCAGATGGGGTCGGAGTAGATGTGGTCGGAGGATTGCGCCGCATCTCCAATGCATCGGCGATGCGCCTCGATGCGGAGACCAGCTTTCTCCACGCCGACGTCGCCGATGCGTCGCCAACCTCGGCGATGCGGCGCGATCCTCCGACACCATCTACTCGGACCCCATCTAGGAGGCCTCTAGCAGGCCATCGTCCAAAGGAGCATGGGGGGATCGAGGTTTGTGTTTTTTGTCGGGCATGTTTGTTGGTTCTCGGGATTTTTAAGCAAGCCCCCGCATGCTCTCCAGCAGTGGCGCCTCGCCGAGAGCATTCCAGGATTATCTGGATCGCCCCGAACGTCCGCCACAGACCAGAGTTGCGAAGCCAGACGACGAGGACCTCTTGGGGACAGGCTCTGGGAAGGACGTACTGATGGTTGCGGCGGGCCTGCTTGCCGACCTGGCGGCGCGGGATGAGGAACCCGAGGCGGCGCAGGAGGAGGTCGGCGCACCCCAAGCATACCAATACGATGTGTGGCTGGCCCCCGCAGGGGCGACGCGCGCGCCGAGAACTCTTACAGCATGTGCTCCGTGGCGGGCGCTGTCTGGCCGCACCGCTCGAGACACCGTATCTAAAGAGATGCTTCTGGTACATCTGCTCGGGTCGGACGCACGCCTCCAAGGACGGCACATAGTACCACAAGTATGTCCTTGTGCGTTCCAGGATCGGCGGCGAGCATGAAGCCTTCCCAGAAGGCGGCGTGGCTTCTCAGAAGGCCCCCGACCTTCTGAGAAGGCTTCTGTGCCCCTGGGGAGGGCTCAGAAGACCTCTCAGAAGGCCGGGGGACTTCCGAGCCTTTGAGAGGGCTCGACCCCTCTCTGGGGAACCAGAAGGTACCAATGCTGATACACCCCAGACCTCTCCCGGGGCGCGTTCTGACCGGCTTTTCTAGGCGAGTCCAGCGGCTGCGACGAGGGCCTCCCAGGAGGCCCCAAAAAGGCGAAAACGAGGAGAGAAGGGTAGCGGTATGGGTACCTTCTCCTCGCTCCCTTCTCACTTCCCCCTCCCTCGCCGCCGACAGGAGGGGGCGATGGGGACTTCTGGCGGGCGGTGGCTCCTCGTCCTCCCGGTGGGGGGGGAGGGTGGGACGTGGTGTGGGTGGGGTGGCTAGTGGGTGGGGTTGGTCGTGTGGGGTGGGTGCCCGGTGTGGGTGTGTGGTGAGGTGTGGTTGGTGGTTGGTGGTGGTGGGTTGGTGTGTGTGGGTGCGGTGTGGGGGGTGGGGGTGGGTGTAGGGTTGTGTGTGGGTGGGTGTGTGGAGAGGGTTTGTGTGCGTGGTGGGGTTGTGGAACCGTCCGGGATAGGGGCCGACGCCTCCCCGAGCGCCCGATCTGCGCCCCGCCCCGCCCCGCCGCGTCAGTGCGTGCACTTGGGCGCCCGGGCGGTGGGCGTCGGCGGCGCGCAGCGCGGCCGTTGTCGGCCTCGCTGCAGGGGGGGGTCACACGTCGGGGGACGATGAGGGAGGGGGAGAGGATGGGAGGATGAGAGGAGGAGGAGTAGGATGAGGAGGAGGAGGAGGTAAGGAGGTAGGAGGGATGAGGAGGAGGGAGGAGAGAGGTGAGGTCAGGTTGCAGTGGTGATTATTATCATAATGGTATGAAGTTAGTATTGATTCGTATTTATGTGAGGAGTAGGGCTTGCCTGAGGAGTGCTTATAAAATTATCGTATTATTTTTTGTTATGTGTGTATTTATTATTATTAATATGTTCTATTTTTTGATTTGTTATTCTTATTATTACTAGTAATTTATTATCATTAAGGTTTATATTTTATTATTATTCGTATGTAGTTATTTGTGTTGTATGTAGTATTTTAGGAGGTCAGCCACGCGTAGAGGGGTGTAGGGGGAGGGAGAAGGCTTCTTGGAAGCACCCCTGCTTCTGAGAAGGCGCGGGCCTTGTCTCCGGGCCTCCCAGGTGGGGTCGGCGCAGATGGGGCCAGAGGACCGCGCCGCATCGCCGATGCATCCGCGATGCCCCGCCGATGCCTCGCCGACGTCGCCGATGCATCGGCGATGGTTCGCCGATGTACTTGCGATGTGGCGCGATACTCCGACCCCATATACTCGGGCCCCATCTAAGAGGCCTCTAGTAGGGGGAGGGGGGGGGCTTCTCAGAGGCACCCCTGCTTCTCAGGAGGAGGAGGAGGGGGAGGAGGTCAGCCACGCGTAGAGGGGTGTAGGGGGAGGGAGAAGGCTTCTTGGAAGCACCCCTGCTTCTGAGAAGGCGCGGGCCTTGTCTCCGGGCCTCCCAGGTGGGGTCGGCGCAGATGGGGCCAGAGGACCGCGCCGCATCGCCGATGCATCCGCGATGCCCCGCCGATGCCTCGCCGACGTCGCCGATGCATCGGCGATGGTTCGCCGATGTACTTGCGATGTGGCGCGATACTCCGACCCCATATACTCGGGCCCCATCTAAGAGGCCTCTAGTAGGGGGAGGGGGGGGGCTTCTCAGAGGCACCCCTGCTTCTCAGAGGGCGCGGGCCTTCTCTCTGTAGATGTAGGGCTGGCGCCTTCTAAGGAACAGCCTCCTTGTAAGAAGCCTTCCCCCCTTTCCCTAGCCCCCCCCTGTGCGCGCCGCCAGAGTTGGCCTTGAAAGAAGGCGGGGGGCTTGGCATCGCTCGGACGTGTGCGTTTTCCTCGGCTAGGCCAGCGTCAGAATATCAGAGCGACGCAAACAACAACATCTCTTTACCGAGACTGGCGCGTAAGCTGCTCGCGTAGGGTGTCACGCGTAAGCGCCCTTGCTTCCAGAGTAGCGTGCCGCGCTGAAGGGCCGCGTAAGCCACCGCGTAAGATCGCTATGTCATCTCGCGTAAGATCCGTCTCTTGATTGCTCCAATTAGACTATGTGGGAGCATCTTGGATCACCCTGCGAGTAACATCATACGCACGAGACCGACAGGTGCACGGGAAGTGGGCGTCCGAGCGATGGCCAGAGGGTCTGTTTCGAAGAAGAAACAGTGACATAAACATAGCTAATGCTTGACGGTCCTCGGATTCCTCGGATCTGCGCTGGGCCCCCCTGGCGGCGTTTCTGGTGCCGCCCATGGCGCGCTCCGCGCGCCAGGGAGGGGCGTTCAGCGCAGATCCGAGGAATTCTGCGCGGACCGTCAAAAGTTTATGTTTACGCCGTTGTGTGATCCCCTATGCTCACGAAGCCCCCCGCCCTCGCAGAAGCTCCCGCGCCTTCTCAGACGGCCCGCCCCCTTCGCGGTCCCCCTGCACTCTGCGCGGGCCGCCAAGGTACGCAACAGCGGTGGAGCGGGGGTGTGTCGGGCCGCACGGACGGCAGTCTCAAACATGTACGCACTAGTTCGTTCAATCATTCGTGCTGAATGCGGGCAGAATGTGTTGCGTTCGGCACCGTTGGCCCGTGAGAGGGGCCACGCGCCATGAGCCACAGGATGTTTTTTGACACATTACCGCATTGCCTGGAGCCTACTTGAGCCGTCTCGGGGGCCCGCCTCACTCTGGCCGGACGAAAGGGTTGGATAGGGAAGGGGGGGGGGAAATTTGTTGCATGCAGTTGGTTTCGGCCCCGCCACCGGGCCCGTTCCTCGATACGCGGGCGCCTCCCAGCGCCAGGGGGCGCCAGGAAAACCAGCTGCGTGGGCGGATTCTTTGCCCTGCCCTTTGCTGTCCTGCTCTTTGGTTCTCCCCGAGGGTGGGCGGGGGGCGGGGGGCGGTGGCGGGGCGTGGCGGCGAGCGAGCGCGGAGCGGCAGGTGCGGGGGCCTTCGGGTACCGCCGCGGGCTCGGTCCGTCCGAGTTTTCTTCTTCTTCTTCTTCTTCTTCTTCTTCTTCTCCTGGGGCTGGCCCCCCTGAGTGTCAGAGGAGGAAAGGCGCCGATACCGCCACCCCTTCCTCTTTTCGTTGCCGTTCTGGGACTCCTATCAGGCCCTCGTCGCCAACGCTGGATGCGCCTCGAAATTCAATTCCTGTCAGCACCCCGGGAGAGGTCCGGGGAGTAGAGTTATCGGTATCTTTTGGTCTCCCACGAGTGGGAGCTCTCTTCCTTCCTGGGGCCGCCACCATCATCAAACACCAGCGCGCGTGGCCGGGGCCGCTGCTACTGCGCGCCAGCTCCGCGCCCTCGCCGCGCTTCTCACGCAGACCTCGCCAGTTCGCACCGCCTGTGCCACGGCCGACCGCCTGCGAATGCCCCCGACTCCACTACCATGTCGTGAACCACCCGCCCCGCGTTGCACACGATTGCGTGCTTTTTGGGCGCTGCACGCGCCAGTGAGTGCACGACTTCTTACAGGACGTCGCGTGCAACTGGAGTGCCAGTGGCGCAAGCGATACTTTTTTTGGTTCGCGGCTCCAAGGCGAGGGACATGGAGCGGGCACAACGTCCGGGGCGCGGTACGATGTAAATTGGCGCGAGATTGCCGCAGACTCCAGCGGACAACACACGCAGTGGCGCATGCACATGCCCGGGACAAAATGCCGCTCATTGAGACGCAATACAGCGTCGGCTGGTGAATCTCACGCAAGCGATACGCGCCGCGTGCAGGTTCAATCAGCCACCCTGCGAGCTCGCGGGGCCGAGCTCGCGGGCCCCAGACCGGCCCCCGCCGGGGAAACCCCGGCGCGCGCTGCTAGCTGGGTGCATGCGGCGCGCGCGGGGCATGTCGGGGCGCCCTGCCCTGCCGGCCGCCGCCCGGGCGAGGCCGGGAGGCCCCACAGAACAGGGCAGAAGCACAGGCTAGTTAGACGGTCGGAGGTCCGAGTGGACTTACACCTTAGGCGATGCTTAAGAAAACTTAAGTTTTCGGCCAGGGTCTCGATGATTCTTAATGGTTCAGTGTAAATCCTAAGATTTTAATAGAAATGTTGGGTTTTTATTCAAGTTCTGAGACTATGAATTTCTTAACCCATGATGTCTCAAGCATTTCGCAGGGTGTAAGTCGACTCGGGCCATCCAGGCGGCGCCTCCGGCGCGGCACCCCAGCAGATCGAAGGCTCCGCTGTACGACGTCAAAGTCTCTCGATGTGTGCTATGTGGGTGCCCCCATAGCCGGGTGGAGCGTGCTCCCGTCAGGGGATGATCTCCCTCCCGGACCTGCGCCTGGCCACCCAAGCGGCGCCTCTGGCGCCGCACCCCCGACGCGCCGGCCCACCTTCACGTCACGGCGCACCCCTCACCATCTTGTTCACCAGCTACCAAACCACCCCCACCCAACCCGAAGGCCTCCATTTGCCCTCCATTTCCAGTGGGGGGGGGTCGGGGAACATCGAAAAAACACGTATGGAACTCATACCCCTTCAACCCGAAATTTGGGTCTTCGGGTTGGGTTGGGGTGGTCTGGTAGGTAGTCACTTGTGGCCTCCGAGCGGGGCGCCTGCCAGGTTGGCCGCCAGCAGCGGGCCCGTTCCCGGCCACGCCGGGCGCCCGCCGACCGCTGGGGGCGCGGAGCCGCGTCCGCACCCGGCGCGTGCCGCGGGCGCCAACAGCTCGCGCCTCCACCGTCAGTCGGGCATGTCCTCCTCTTCCTCCTCCTCCTCCTCCTCCTCCTCCTCTTCCTCCTCCTCTCTGGCCGGACGAAAGGGGGGGGGATCGGGAAAGGGGGGGGGTACAAATCTGCTGCCCGCAGCCGGTTCCAGCCCCACCGAGGGGCCTATAGGCCCCTCGGGGGCGATGAGGAAGATAAGGACGATGAGGATAACGTGTAGGAGGAGAAAGCCGGAGGGAGGGAGGAGTGAGGGCGAGGCCGAGAAGCGAGCTGCACCAAACTTGGTCGGGACCATCCTGGGTCTGGGATTGGTGCACGCGCTCTCTTGGTCTGGTGAGCCCCGCCCCCGAGAGGACAAGCACGCAGGTTGGCAGGTCAACGACCGCACTGCGGGCAGCGGCTTGGAGGGCCGCGGCAAGAAGGACGAGTCTTTCTACTCCTGGGCACTCCAACCTGTGATCTCGTTCGGGGTGGGAGCATTCCCCTCCTGCGAGGGCCCTCCTCCTGCGTGGGCTCTGCCCGGATTTCACCAGGACGCGCCCAGTCGAGAGCCTGCCATGATCTCGCCGTGATCCCGCCTGGGCCTCCGCAGAGTTTGCCATGCCACCACCAGCAGGCCTGCAAGGGTCATGCCAGGAGCTGGAGGAGGAGGAGGAGGAGGAGGAGGAGGAGGCATCGACCCCGGCGGCATCCCGACATTCTGCCAGGACGCTGGCAGGACATCACCAGGACACTACCACCAGGGCCTTGTCGAAAGTATACCAGCGGCACCGTTCTCGGGGTGGCCCAGACGGCCTCCCTATAAAGCACCCCTCCCGAGGCCCGAGAGGCCCCATGGGGCTCCAGAGTGGAGCACAAAGCTGGGGGCACCTTGGGCCAGGGGCACTTCTAGCAACGCCGGACTGGAGGGCCGGGCCCTCCCGGCGCCCCGCCCCCCCTCTCCCCTCCCTTGGGACCCGCCGCGCGCAGCAGGGGGGCCCCCGGCGTGCTCGCGTCGCAGCAGAGATCAGGACGAGCGGTTGTTGCCCACGTTCGGCCCCTGCAGTGCCCTCGCCCGGCCTCGGAATCAAGAGGAGACGCTTCAGGATGACAGACCGGCCTTGGAGACAGGGTCGGGATTGTTTGGGGCCGCGTATTGTACACATCAGGACATGGCATGTCTGGAGGTAGGGGGAGGGGGGAAGGCTTGACGCCGCGAGCGCTTCGATCGCGCAGCGGCCTGCCCAAGAAAGGGGGCGGCCCAAGAAAGGGGGAAGGCTTCTTAGAACGAGGCTGCTTCTTTGGAGGCGCGGGCCCTGTCTGTAGATGTAAGGCCCGCGCCTTCTCAGAAGCAGCCCACTCCTAAGAAGCCTTCCCCCCTTCCCTACACCCTCGTGCGCGCCGCCAACATGTGCCCCCAGGCGTCCGGCGTCGTGTATTCGTCGCAGCGTGGCTCCTCCGAGGTTTGGACTCCTCCCTGGGGACATGTTTTGCATCCCGAGCAGTTTTTTTGCCGGCCCCTGGCTCAGGCCAGGGCCCCCAGAGGCCGAAAACGGCCAACAAGTGTCTTCGTCGTGCTGATTGTTGCAGCTCGACCCAACGAATGCAATGGCGAACCCCACACTGGAAAGTAGAGTAGCAATTGGCTCTCATTTCCACATGTGACCCGTAGGAACCGTCCCAGCCAGAGACTGGTCGTGTCGGTAGGCGCATACATTCGGCCCCTTGGAGGACAGCGGGCAGGAGGAGCTCGCGAAGCTGGAATCGTCGCGGGGTGCCGCGACGCACGCCACTGGCAACTGCAAACCCTGTATCTACCACAACGCCAGCTCGGGCTGTGCGAGGGGCGTCAGCTGCAAGTTCTGCCACGAGCCGCACGAGCGGAAGCAGAGGTGGGCGGGCGGGGAATCAGCACATTGTTCAGAGGATCTTCATTCTATGGAGACACAGCGAGTTCCGCGGTAGCCAGTCCAGCCGTGGCACTTGGGGCGTTTTCGTAGCCTGCAGGGTGTCAAGAGTTCCTGGTGCCGAATCTAAGAATTCTTGGCGGCGCCGCGCGTTGATCCGATTGAGCTTATACGTATCTCCATTCAGAGAGACCTCCGAGTGGATTGGCGTATCGCGCAGTCCTCCCAGCAGAGCCAGACCTGGCGCCAATGTCGCCAACTGGTCCCCGTCTAGCAAATCTCAGGAGGAAAAGAAACACACAGACACAATTAATCGTCGACTCCCAGGAAAATATTGGAAAGTATGGGAAGTGGGGGGGAAGACAAAAACCCTAAAAATATGGAAAAATATAGGGGAGCCTGTTATTTGTGTGTATTTATTCGTGTGTCCCTGGGCCCCTTGAAAATCTGGGGCTGTGAGGCAGGAGTAACGATTGCTGCCAAGACCCAGCTTCCCAGGGTGCCTCCCGAGATCGGGCCTGATCTCAGTTTTGTAGCTTTCCCATCAGGGCACGGCCGAGCAAGGCCACCAGATTGCAGTGCAAGAAATTGGCTGAGAATTTTGGCACTGCGAAGGGCCAGCCGGACACCGAGGATCTCACCTTGGGAAATCTCTTTCTCCGTCGTCTCTTGCTTCCTTCTCCCTCTTCGACTTTCGTTGCTTGCAGAAGCGGTGTGCACACGCTGAGGTGCTTTACAGGTCATCGTTCGTCTTGCTCGGCAAGCCCGTCGGTCAAACAGACTCGAGTTTGGTAAAATCCTGTCTCAGAGCTCTGCAGCAGCAGACCAGACCGAGCTGTCCCAGAACCCATCACGCATATGCTTCGTGTCGTCATAGTTGCGCTCATTTCAGAGAAGACTCTAGGCATTCACTTTGATCGCAATGAACCCATACTGTGTGCATGTGTGTTATAATGGCCTGGGCGAGTGCGTGCGCGGACGGGCCGTTGGTTGAGCGTTGAGGAGGCGGGCAGTGCTGCTCGATCAGGCTGCGGGGTCCATTTTGATCCCACCGCCGATCCCGTTCGATGTTCCCTCGTGCTCCTTCTCCTCCGCCTCCTCCTCCTAACTCCTACTCCTCCTCCTCCTAACTTCTCCTCCTCCTCCTCCGCCCACGATGTTGCTTTCGGCCAGCCCGACCCGAATCCAGTCAGCCTTTCCCACGATCCGATGCGTCCCGACGCTTGCACGGCGCTGTTGGGCATTCTGGCGTGGCCGAGTTCGGTCTCGGCTCCGTGCCGATGGACGCCCGAGCCAACGCATGCTCTGATCCGACCCGATTTGCCGATGCGATGCTGGCTCTTCCTTGCGATGTTCGTTTAGGGACTCTAGAGGAGGCTGGGGCAAAGGCGAGAGATAGCAAGCGTTAGTCCGCGGCTGTTTGTGCTCAAGCGGCCGGCCGCCAACATATGATTGCGCCTCATCGCGAGGCACACGACTTGCAATTGAGACTGAAAACGTATTCGCTTGACATGGCCCGTCGTTCCCGCGGCGATCTCCTACTTCTGGGACTATCGTTACTACGGTACAACAGAGTTGGATATGGGCTTCGTCTTAGACGAAACTTCTAGTTGGGCCTCCTAGCCCTGGTCAAACTTGGTAGCGGAGCTGGCCTATTGTGGTAAGCAGTAACTCTACTCCTCACCATCCACGGCACTATCTGGTGGACTATTGACATGGTGGAACATCAGGGTGCAGTGGGTTTGCGCGGAAGAATGTACAGATCGACGCACATACGACAATACACTTGCAGCGCTACCTTCCTTCTCGCGGAGGCTTCTTACATGAATTATACTTCCTTGCGCTACTACGCTCCTGAAGTGCGATGCGACACTCTGCCGCCCCCCCCCCCCACGCAGGTTGACGACAACACATCACAACCCACAGTCATAAACATCCGACCACGTCCTAAGGGGCCATTGGATTGACAATGCCATATTTGGCCTCCTATGGGTAGCTATCGGGTGCGCTGTTGGGCACGTGCAGCGGGGCGGAGACGACACGCGTACTACCGGGCCCCGCTGTGACCCTGCCGGTAACGTACCTTTCCTCGAATTCGTTCGAAAGTTACACGCCTGGATCGACGTGACCACAGGCACCGTGGCCCCGCCCAAACAGGCCGCAACATTGCGGCGTGGTCTGGGAGGGTTCGCAAGGACCATAGCCATGAGAGTATCTTCTGGAATCGTTAACTTTGGCGTGAGTATCGGTGGTCGCCACGCTGACGGCGTCACCTACACTTGTCCTCCTCAGCACTAAGTTCGAACATCTAGAGGTGGAGCGCCAACTTAATTCAGGAACGGCTCTCATCGTCTTTCGCGTCCATGCGAGAGAGCGGATCGACCAAACGTTGGCACGATTTGAGCTAGCACGCTTTTAGGCCGAGACCGCAGGCTTCAATATCCCCAACTTCCAGATCCTGACAGGCACCTGTTCAGAGCTCCGGGTATTGGTACGTCGCGCGCACAGCAAGTCTCACAACCATGAAGCCACCAAATGCCATGGACACAGCAACCGTTTGAGGTCTTATGTTCACATTGCCGAGCGAACCCCTGGCAACATCGGTGGTCTATTTAGTCACGGTCATCGTACCGAAACCTTCCATACCGACGCTAATGCAGTGCAGCTTGCGAACAACGTCTGGAACGACCATCCACAACCAACTGAGGCCAACATGTTATTCAGCCGACAAGGTGGCCAGCCTACGGGGTCGCAGTACTCTTGGGCTCGCTACCAGGGACCGTCGGCAACGTCGGCCCCTGCCCAAGCCACTACATTGTAGTCTCTGCGGGGCAACCCGCCGAGTCTGAGTTTGACTCTGGTACCGACACCGACACCTCATCAGATGAGGGAACTGGTTCCCTGGATTACTCCGACATGCTTGTGCATGTTCCTGAAGAGCAACAGGCGCAGTGGTTACTCCTAGGAAACCAGAAGCACAAAACCGTTGGAAACGCACTATGAAGAAACCAGTTCGCAATGTATATGACGTTTTGATCCGACGGGCGTTTAGGTCAAAGGGTAAGGGTCGAGGTACGGGCACATGCAAACGACGGTGACGACACGGCAGAGGTATGTTGGCATTCCCGGCATCCCTTATTGGACCACAGTGCGCAAATATGTTCCTGGGGACAGGCAGTGGCCGTATGCGCACTTCAGGAAAAGGGTAAGGGACGTCGGGGCAGACCGAAGCATGCCAATAAGACCATGGAGTGTGATATCTGCCATAGCACGCAACATGTTCGTCGTGAGTGCCCCCAAGGAGATGGGAGAGGCAGAGGTCCGTTGATACATTTGGCTCAAGCCGATTCGGACATTCAGTATGTCGATTGGGAGACGCTGTTAGCCGAACCCGAAAACACCTCTACTGTCGCTCTCCACTTCATGGCCGCCAGGTATCTGAGAGCTAGCGTGTCCCTCGAGAGGTGTGCCGATGAGCTTTTCGAGGGGATTTACGTTGGCCACGACGAGATCAACCTGGTGGACAGGTTGGCGCGGGGCAGCCTGCACAGATTGAGTTCGCTGGGGACTTCCAGGTGCCCGCCGATTCGGACCGCGAGATGGCGGGGACACCTGCGGACCCTGATGCTACGATACCGGCAACAGAGGAGGAACTACAAGTGATGCCCCAGCCGCAGGTTATTGGTAATCATTTATACGGAGAGCCATGCGCCGACGATTTATTGTGGGGTCGCCCGCGCGATGCTGGTGACCTTTCCGAGCGCAGCCACTTTGAATTCGGACATAATGAAGGCTTTCACTTCACGTTCGTAATACATGACCGATCCACAAGCCGCCCAGTTCGGAGGCGGGTGCATCGTAACGATGACAACGATGACGAATGGGAAGGCGAGAGTCATCACCCGCAGCTTCATGGGCGGAGTCATTCACGCGGGCATTCGCGCGCCCGTTCCAGCGGCGCACAGCAGCAGTTTATTCAGGCCGGCCGGAGGCCCGCGTTGCCGCCCGCGTGCTCGTCGAGAGCGGTTTCTTTCCCCTCCTTTGTTTTCCGCTTGTGTCTTCTGCCCTGCTCTTCTTCCTCCTCCCTCGTGCGCGTTTCGTTTCATTTTGTTTGGGATGGCCGAGCGACGCAACGTTGCGTCAGTGCGGCGATTGCCGGACGTTTTTGTTTTTTCGCTTCGTTTCGTGGGGCGAAAATTCGTGCGTTTATTCTTGTTGCGCACGTTTGTCGGCCGCGCGGCCAAGACGCGACCGCCTCTTGTTTTCTTATTCCTCGTCCTCCTCCCCCTCCTCCTCCTCCTCCGGCTCCTCCTCCTCCTCCTCCTCCTCCTTCTCCTCCTCCTCCTCCTCCTCCTCCTCCTCCTCCTCCTCCTCCTCCCCATTCCTCCTTCGCATTGCCACCTCTCTGGCGGCCGATTTTATGCGAATTTGGGGGCTGCCTGCATGGCGACTTTGGCACCTTAAGGTTTGTTAGTCCAGCGCGCGCCGCACGCCTGAGTATAGGAGCGGGAAGGGGGTTCAAATTTGCACCGCACCTCCTGGCGCATCCTTCCCCTCTCGTTTCTTTCCTCCCGCTGTTTCCTCCCAGAGGCGGAGCGCTGGCTAGCCCCATCGGGGTGGGCCGGCTCTCCGCCTCCGCCTGTCTCGTCCTCGCTCCCCCCCGGATGCTGCGGCTCCAGCTCTTGTCCACCAGTGGGCTGATGTGCGGCTGTTGCACGCGTTGCTCTTCGCCCTGCCTCCTCTCCTCCCCTTCTGCTCTCCTCCCCGCTCGTGGTGCGGAGCTCGCCCTCCGTGCGACGATTTGCGTTCGCGCCGGTGCGGGCGGAGGTGGCTGGTGGTGGGCCCCCCGGTTTCGCCGACCGTTCCCTGACCAGGGAGTCGCCCGCGAGCCCGAATTGTCCCTGTTTGCCCGCCGCATGCGGTCTTGATTCGGAAGTCCGTTCACCCTGACTGTCTGCAGCGTGCTGCGTCCTTCCCGCCCGAGGGCGGGCGCATTGCAATTCCAGCGCGCTTTGTATTTTTACTTCCCTTTTTCCCCCCCCCCTCCCCATCAATGCGGCTGCTTCATTTTTGCCAGACTGGGGTCAGTCGGGTATGCAGCCTAATACTTGCCAGCCCGGGTGTTCGTCCCCCTCCTCCTGCTCCTCCTCCTGGCCTCTCTCCTCCTCTTGTGGCTATTCTTGCACATCGGCGCTCTTGTGAACCGATTCCGTGCTACACGAATTTGCGTCGCTTCCGCAGTCCAGGGTTTCTGTGTCGGGCTTGGCAGGTTGCGTGAATTTGCGTACAGTCGGGGCCCTGAAGAAGGAACCCTTTTCGTTGGGGAGGGGCTCCGCGTTCCTGAAGTGTGTCGCAGCTTGCCTCAGGTTTTCCTTTTCGATCGGAAATCGAAGTTTAACTTATGGAAAAAAGGGGCCTCGTTCCTTATTTTGGGTTCCTTAGGTCAAGGCCCCGACTGTACGCTCGGCTCCCAGCAGGGCGACCCTCGAGGCATCGATCGGCTGGTGCATCGGGCGTTCACTGTCCTTCCCCCCCCCCTTCGCCCAAAATATTGGGCCGAAAATGGTGGCTCCAGGGAGGTCCCCAAACCGAGCATCACTGGGATGGCAAACGAAGTGGGAGGAAGGGTGTGG